AGCAAAAAAAAAAAAAAAATTGGTGACAAGACGAGTAAAGGTTTTAGTGTTTTGAATATATAGTTCTGGCTGGGGAGTATGAGGAAGATAACATGTGGAGAAAAAATTCCTAATGCTTTTGCCTTAATAGTTTGTGATTCCATAGATATGATTATAACAATTACTGAAAACAGGACCTTATTTGTAAATGTGTTATCCTAGTGTTTATTACTCGTGTTAGAAAAAAATAACATACAATTGTCCCTGGAAAATGTTTAGTGCAGAGAAAAAAATGCTTATCATTTCTTACTTCTGGCTTTCACACTAAACAAACAAACAAAAAAACCTCAAAGTAAATTTACAGAGAATTATTGTTTAATTTCATCATTTTATTTTCCCTGATGTGTTTTTGCTCACCTTGTAAAGTTTATGTGTATTATTTCCAGTTTCATGAGTTTTAGCATTACATTCATTTTTCTTATTTTTTAATTTCATGCTAAGTTTTCTTTTTGTTTTTTCCTCCTGAGCCCTCTTTCAGTTTTTCATAATCAGAGTGAAGAGAATTACCAACTACAACATAATCTTTGTGAGGCATAATTTTATTTTCTAAAGTAAGCCTCTTTGAAATGACTTTTTGTTGAACTTGGAGAATTGGGGGTGTGTGTGTATGTGTGTATATATATATATATATATATATATATATATATATATACACACACACATACACACACACACATATATATACATACATTTTGTTGTCAATTATAAAAATAGCAAAAATATAAACAAAACACTTCTCTGAGAATATTTACTGATTTAACAGGTTAATAGTGGAGATGGAAAAAAGTAAATTCGAACATAAAAGAAATATATCTTATCAGTGGAATATTTATTGAACTTGCTTAGTATAAGTTAATCATTAGTCCAATAAGACGTTCAGGAAATTTATGGTGATGCTTCATATTTATTTGAACCTCAGTATCTGGGAAGCACTAGAAGCCAATTGAATACTGACCTCATCCAGTTTAGTTTACCATTGATTGAAAAATACTATTTACATATGTTTAGAATAACATATAACATTATTTTATAATTAGTCAAGTACTCATTTATCTAAAATTAACTCAGATACCTCCATGCTAATCCGTGTAACTAAGAGAGGTCATCATTCAAAATGGAAAATCTTCACTCTTTTCTTTCCTCAAGGCAGTGACAGAGAGGACACATTGAATGCAAGCTTGAAGCTATCCCACTCTTAACTGCTGTCAATTATTATTCCAGTGAGTTGGAATGCCACCAGTTCACCTCAGTCTGCTCACAGTTTTTCACACCAGGGCTTTCCTGAGAAGTGGCCCACAGCTGCCAGGATGGCCCCAGTGCCACAGAGCACTGTCAAATTTAGCTAGCAGTCAGCAGTTCTCAACCTGTGGGTCGCGACCCCTTTGGCGGTCGAACGGCCCTTTCACAGGGGTCGCCTAAGACCATCCTGCATATCAGATATTTACATTACGATTCATCACAGTAGCAACATTACAGTTATGAAGTAGCAACGAAAATAGTTTTATGGTTGGGTCACACCATGAGGAACTGTATTTAAAGGGCCAGAAGGTTGAGAACCACTGACTGCTCATCACATTAAAAGAGCAGATAATTGCTAGATTGGGGCTGCCATATTAAACAATATTAAAGCTCAATATAATTTATCACCCACATTTTTATCTCTTGAAATATGCATTTTCAAGCAACCTTTACCTGTGTGCAAATTCTAAAATGTATCACTTAAATTAAATGGTTAACCAAATAACTTGTTAAGACCCTCAGGGCTTGTTACCAAGATCTGTTCACAGTCTACATCCTTTCCCTAGGTTATAGTATTATGGTAATATCTATAGTATAGATTCTATGTTCTATAAATTGCCATTTTTGCATATTCAGGAAAAACATGTCTTCATTAAGTCCAAACTTTTAAATCATACTGCTTATTTATTATTGCCTATTTGACAACTTTAAGTTATACACACATAATATGTGAAACAATAAAACTTTTGAAGCTTGTCTTGCTTATCCCTTCTCTACCTGTTATGTTTTTACTCTCTCCAGTCTGAATATTTATATTATTTATATCTATATCTATATATCTATATCTATATCTATATTCTTCTCATTCTACTCCCCCTCTGACTATTCTCAAATGTTTCACTATAACATGCATGTCAGTGAAATATTTACATCTTAGATAGCATCTGTGATGATCTCCCCTTGTGAAGGCCACTCTACATATACAGATCTTCTGAACAATCCTAGAAAATTGCACAATGTTTATATTAGGCCTTTCCAACTGTGAAACAACTGTTTTAGGAGAATAAATGGTTCATCACTGTATGTATTCTTTATAGTACATGTATATTCACTGAATGTTGTGCTTTCAGAACAAAAGTTATAATCAAGAATATCTTTTTGGCCATGGCTGGTGTGGCTCATGATTGGTTGAATGTCCTCTTGTGCACTGAAAAGTGGCAGGTTCAGTTCCTGGTCAGGTTGTGTGTTTGTGCCCCAGTCAGGGTGCATAAGAGAGGCAGGCAATTGATAGATAATTCTCTCTCTCTCTCTCTCTCTCTCTCTCATTTACTCTTTAAAATCAATAAAAAGCATATCCTCTGCATAAAGATTTTTTAAAAAGGAATTTTTTAAAATAATATATCATTTAAAATAATAAATAAAAGACTCTATAACAAAAAATGAGCAGCATGATTGGAAAAACGGAAATAATTCTTGCTCCTGTGAAAGACTCTTACAAATTATACACTATGGAAGTCGTTAAAACATATAGGGAAGCTCAAGGGAAATACAGTTATAATTTTATTTATAGGCTGAATCTCTGTGCATGCATTAACAACCCTAATGCATTGGCTTAATATAGAGTTCTAAAAAAGATAAGAGGTTCCATCATGCTCCTTATCATTTGTCACAGGTATGTGGCCTTTACATTGTGCAAAAGGGCTCACACACTGAGTGCGTAATCCTATGTAACTCAAAGCATGTTCAGAACACAGAGAATATCCTCTCTGTAAAAGTGCATAGTTGTTCTACAAGTTCAAATGTAAGCATACAGATTTTGCAGTCAAAAGCAGAGAACATAAGGGAGAGAGATCAACCAAAGAACTTGTATGCATGCATATAGGCATAAGTAATGGATGCAGACAACAGGGAGTGAGGGTGAGGGCATGATTGGGGTGGGGAGGTGGGGGGGGGGCAGTGGGAGGATAGGACACATTTGTAATACCTTAATCAATAAAGGAAAAAAATAAAAAACCCAAGGGATATGGATGGAGAATAAATCAAATTCCTAACTGTAATTCATTTGTTAGATAGTATCTCCAAGAGGCATAATTCTGAAAAATCAATTTTCTGAAGGAAAAATGATTAATCTCAGAGCGAATTTTACACATACCAAGAAAGTCACATGGAGTATAGGCAGGAGTCATCCTTGGTTGTCAAGGCAACTGTAATTTTAGTTTCTCTACTGAACAAGCTTCTCCATTTTCCTGGTTGTACTATGGATGTTAACTAGACTGCCATGTCCTTCTGCAAAGAGTCTTAGGATGCTGTTCTCCTGAGGGCTAATCAATATATGAGATTTCCCACCATGATAAGTCAGACAAATACATCAAGATCTAATTTTCTTTTCATCTATTCAGTAAATCAACTGTGAAATTCAGAACTGACCCATGTGCTTGGGGGCTAAAAGTAATCAGAGCTGACCTAATCAAGATTAAGAAATCATCTACATTTAAGAGAAAAGAAAGATACCACACCATGAAGAAGTTAATGATACTTTAATGAACCACACTTAAATTTTGCATTCATTTGTTATAGGTGAATATAGATTGTGGAGGTGGAGGGAGGAGGCTGGCACTTGCTGTATAGGCTAATTATTTGCAGATCTTGAGCAAGATAGAATTAGGACATAAAGGCGATGGTAATATGAATTTACCAGAATCTATCAATGCTTATACCTCTAATACTTTCTCTAACATATTTTTATTTTTGCTGAGAACAATTTCTAACACTCTTTCTTTTGATATCTTTAAAAATAATACAGATTATTCTGAGTTTCAGTATATTCTAAACACTCACCATTTGTATTTATTTTATGTGCACTTGAGCAGTCAGAGAAGCTTAAAGTAAAGAGGTTATATGACCTGCAAAAAATTACTAAGAAAAAAGAGCATGGAAAACATGATACTAGAGTGTTCAGTATTTGACATTTCCCTTCAAAGGGAGGTTAGTAATATCCATGTTACAGAGTGAATATAAGAATAAATAAGAGAGTAAAAATAGTGCAACACCTTACATAGTAAAGCATAGCCTGTTTTTCCTTTGTTTATTTTCTAGATATATTTTAGTAATTTAAATGAAGTGATTGGAGACTATGATGTTCAATGAAAAAAAATTATGGGAATTGAATATAGATTAACACTTTTTAAAAGGTATAGACTTTGGCTAATTAGAGCATCTGCTGTGCATGGTGATCGATGTGAGAGAAAGTAGGGATAAGCCTAAATTAATTGATTAGAATGACAAAAAACACAGCTGATTTGAAAGGAGAATGGATTAACTCATCACTAATTTTGTGGAGTACCAACCATACATAGGGAGATGTAAAAATTTACAGTCTTTCCCAATGAGGTTTTAACTTCCAGGTAAAAATGACGCTGCCTTGCTGGTTTACAGTGATTTGGAGTGTTATATCTATGATTTCAAAATTTTAAAATAATGAATTTGTATCTCCATACATAAGGTGCAAGAAAAACACAAGACCATTGTGTAGAAGGTATCAAAAAAAGTGAAAAGAACTCAAGGGCACTTAAGTAAATGGAATTTTCCTTGTGAAGAATGCAACAATGTGGAACATTTCTCTATGCCAAGCCTTCAGATTACCTGAAGGAATTAAAAATAACATAGACTGAAGTGGTTCTGAAGGAGCGTGCGGCTTGGTGTGCTCTTTGTTAGCTTCCACCATGGTGTGCCGGGGCCAGGGCCAAAAGGTACAGAAGGTGATGGTGCAGCCCATCAACCTCATCTTCAGACACTTAGAAAATAGATCTCGGATTCAGGTGTGGCCTTATGAGCAAGTGAATATGCAGATAGAGGGCTGTATCATTCGTTTTGATGAGTATATGAACCTCGTATTAGATGATGCAGAAGAGATTCATTCTAAAACAAAGTCAAGAAAACAACTAGGTCGGATCATGCTGAAAGGAGATATTACTCTGCTCCAGTGTCTCCACCTAGAAATGACTTAATGAAGTGAGGAATTACTGAGAAGCAATACAGTTTGTGTTTTTTGGTGTCCTTTGTTGGGATAATATTTCTTACCCATTTATTCATATTGGCTTACAGTACCCTTAAGTTACTACCAGATGACAATAAATGATATGGAATTGTTTTTGTTAAAATAACAATAACAAAAAAAATAAAATAAAATAACATAGACTGCTCAGCTGGTGTGCTCAGTGGTTGAATGCTGATCCATGCACCACGAGGTCACAGGTTTGATTCACAGTCAGGGCACATGCCCAGGTGTCAGGCTGGGACCCAATAGGAGGCTTGCAGGGGGAAGCCAATCAATGATTCTCTTTCATTGATGTTTCTATGTCTCCCTCTCAATTCCTCTCTCTCTAAAATTAATACAAACATATTTAAAAATAAGCAAATAAATAATAACATATGTGTTGAAGTATTAAGTAATACATAAGCCATCAATTGTGAATAAGAGCAAGTAGCATTACTGAGGCTAAGTCATATGTGGGAGATATCTTCCTAGGGGTAGGCTAAGGACAGGGAAAAAAAGTGTTCCTAATAATAGAAATAGGCAATTGACCCTTAAGGAACAATTTCATGTGCACTAGAATATCCTTTGGGTGAGAGAATGGTGCTGTCAGGAGTCATTCTATGATGACACAGCATTTTTTTTTCATTATTAATCATCCCTGTTTATATTCAAGTGAGGATTTCATTAAAGGATTTAAATTCACAAATGTGCTTCTTAAATTTGAATATTTCAAAAAGTGTATTTTGCATTCATATTTCTATGTCCTTTCTTATGGATATCACAATAAAATTCAGATGTCACTAGAGATGGAGTAAAAACAAGGATCAGATAAGAGAACATTGAAAAAGAAAAGAGAATAGAACATATTGAAGGAAAATGATTGAAGCTGGAGATACCACAGATTTTCATCTCAGAATTTTCTAAAAACTTTTTTGTTTATAAATAATGATTCATTTCAGAAGGAGAGCAAAGATAGTACAGAGGGATCCCTTCTAACCTTCTCTCAGATCTCATTAATTTAAAACCTTATAATGTGTCCTGGCATATTCTATGGATATATACTGTTTGTTTCCTTCAACTTCCTGACTTTATAGACTTATATATTTTTTCTATTATCAAAACTTAGCAATTAACTTTGGTACAAAGTACAATAGCTAAATTGCAGACTATATTCATTACCTTAGTTTTTCTACTATTTTTTTAATTCCAGGATTATGTGTATTATGTTGCATTTAGACATCAGATTACCTTAGCTTCCCTTAATCTGTGATTTTTTTTTTCCTTTTGTTTTATGATATCGACACTTTTTAAGGATACCAGTCAAATAACTTATAGGCCACTATCCTACTTGGCTGTGTTTGAATACCACAGAGGTGGTGATCTTCTCATCCTATTGTGTGGGGAGGAACACAATATCCACATGACTCATTCCCAGTCATAACCTTGATCTCTTGGCTAGTATGGTATTTGTCAGGTGTCTCTATTGTACAGTTACTGCTATTGTTTTTTTAAACTCTATTCGATAGAAGCAAGTCACTAAATTTAGCTTACTTTTAAGGGGATGGACATATATGAAAATCACCATAGTAAATTAATTGTTTTTCAGGGAGAGGTTTGAAGCTAGGTAAATATTTTGCAACGCCTAAAGATTTTGACCATACATTATAACACTTATTAGCCTACAAGTATGACTGTGGTGTTGTAATGGGGTTTTACTAACTGTTAAAATAAATATTCATGATACTTGTTAAAGACTAGAGGCCCAGTGCATGACATTCGTACACTGGGGGGAGGGGTCCCTCAGCCCGGCCTACTCCCTCTCACAGTCCCAGACCCCACAACGGATGCCCACCTGTCGTGTCCACCTGTTGGCTTAGGACCACTCCCTGTTGGCAGGTGGACATCCCCCAAGGGGTCCTTAGGCTCCCACCACCACTGCTGCACTCAGCAGCCATGAGCCTGGCTTCTGGCTGAGAAGCATTTTTCCTGTGGGAGCACACTGACCACCAGGGGCAGCTCCTGTATTGAGCGTCTGCCCCCTGGTGGTCAGTGTACATCATAGCGAATGGTCGTCCTGCCGTTCCGTCAATGTGCATATTAGGGTTTTATATAGGATGGTAAGGAAGACTTTATTTAAAAGGGACTACTTATCTAGGGTAGAGAGATCAGGCTCAACTTCAATTACAAAAAGGGAAAGTGGGATTCATAGTATAGAGATAGGATATATAAGAGATGGGGAGTGAGGGGAGCATCAGTGGATATAAATTACTTGGAGGTAACATGAGGGATAAGAGCAGATTCTTGCTATAGGTACACCAGAGTGATTGGGTGTCACTTGGGGGATTGCTGGAGCAGAGAAGCTGTCCAGATATCAAGGGTGAGGGATTCTATCTAAACTGACTTAGCAGGATTCTTGCTCTGAGGGATGAGGCCCAAGTATGTGCCTTCATCATAAAAGGTCTTACAGGAGCCTGGTTAGAGTTGGTTTAGGGGGAATCTTTGTCGTTACTGCATTCTTTTTACATTCATAAGTCAGAAATTTTTCTGTAAAGATTTATACCTTCTCTTCAGTTTATTTATTTATCCAATCCTTTGTCTTAATTTCATTTCATGGATATTTATTTTCAAGTAGGTTGCATTGGCAGAAGAATCTCTTAGTTTACATCTTCTGAGGTTGTCTGGAATGCCACTTCATTCCTAAAGACTTTTTTTTTTTCTCTTCTGGATTAAGTATTCTGAACATTTTATTCCATCAGCACTTGAAAAATGTGACATTTATTTCTCACCTCTATCACTTCTGATGCCAAATTTGCTGTCATTATAAATGTTATCCCCACTATCTGCTGGTTTCAATATTGTTTTTCTTTGTCTTTATTTTTAAACAATTATGATATTCCTTGCCATGAACTTCTTTGGATCTTTCCTGTCTGATGTTCACTCAGCTATTATTTATTTATTTATTTTAAGAAGGCTTATACACTTTGTCAAAGTTCAGAAAAGCTAGCCCATTACTTTTCATATACCTCTTAATCAGACCACTCTTTCTTCTCTTCTTCTAGGATTTCAGTATAACAAATGTTAGTCATTATGCTCCTCCAGGCTTCTGAGGTGTTGTTCATTATTTTCAGCCTTTTCTCTCTCTCTCTCTCTCTCTCTCTCTCTCTCTCTCTCTCTCTCTCTCTCTCTCTCTCTCAGTTTCTAAAATTCTACTCTACATTTATCTTCTCAATTCTGCTATTTAGCCTATTCAGTGATTACTTCTTCTACCCCCACCACTCATCCTAGCCAGGGCTAGAATTCCCCCTGTATTTCTCTCCTCTTCCTGCAATAGTGGGTTTCCACCAATGCATTTTAAAATCCATTTATAGTAAAGGATTTTTATTTTATTTTAATATAATAATATATAGTAGTTAGTTCTCAATTGTGGTTTTGCTTTCCCTGGTTTCAGTTATCTACTGCCAACTGCAGTCTGAAAATATTCAATTGCAAATTATAGAAATAAGCAATTTTTAAATTTTAAATAATACATTGTTCTGAGTAGGGAGATGAAATCTCATCCCACTCCATTCCTCCCAGGACATGGATCTTCCCTTTGTCCAGTATATCCAAGCCATATATGCTCCCCACCCATTAGTCACTTAGTAGCTGTCTTGATATCCCTACATTAGTTATCAGAGAAAGAGAAAGAAGAGAGATCACATTCAGATAACTTTTATTATAGTATATTGTTACGATTGTTCTCTTTTATTACTTGTTGTTATTATCTTACTATGCCTAATTTATAAATTAAAATTTATCAAGGCATATATCTATAGGGAAAAACGTAGTATATATAAGTTTCTATACTATCCCTGGTTTTAGGTATTCACTGCGGGGTGTGTGTCTTGGAATGCATACCCTTTGGATAAGGAGTGACTACTGTATAGGTAGAATTCTGATATTGGTCTGGGTGGATTTGTGAAGTACCCCCTGCCCCTGCCAAGTAAACACCACATGGGAAAACTTTCTAAATATCTTCCTAATCTTCCAAATGAGCAGGTGGTAGGATTCCAGGAGAAACAACCATAAGAAAATGCAAATTTGCCTTTGTCTCTGGTCTGCTGGAACGTCACACTTGCATGCTAGCCCATATTCAGTCTTTAGCAACTCATAGAATGCATGTCAAATTTTTTAGTTGAATCTACTCATCAAATGTTTTTTGTTTTGTTTTTTGCTTTTTTTTTCAATCCTCACCCAAGGATATTTTTTCATAACTTTTTAGAGAGAGTGGAGGAGAGAGGGAAAGACAGAGAAATATCCAAGTTAGAGAAAGACATCTATTGGTTGCCTCCTGCATGCGCCCTGTCCAAGGCCTGGGCTGGGGAAGAACCTGCAACCAAAGTGCATGCTCTTGACAGGAATGGGACATGGGACCCTTCAGTCCGCAGGCCAGCACTCTATGCACTGAGCCCAACTGGTGAGGGCTGAATCTGCTCATGAGATTATATGACCAGGTGTCTGTTCCAGATAACAAATGCTTAGATTCCATTTCTACCTTCAGGGATCTTTGTTTAGATTTCTCTAAGTTGTTTGACCTCCAGTTCTCCAATATTTTCAAGAAAAGCCATTAATTTATAATTGGTGTAACTTTTGCTTTTGTTCTAATGGTGGGAGCAACATTCTTCCCAGCTCTTTCAAATTCTGATTGGAAGCTGGAAAGTGTGTTGCTATTAGAGTTTGAAATAGCTGGAGAGAGTTTTGCTCTTACCCTTAGAACTGCACCATCTAGAGCAGAGGAATTATGAAGTGGAAACATGGAAGCCTGAAATCTATCTGTTATCACTTCCAAAATGCATCTTATTAATAGTTTTTCAATGAAATAAATTAATCAGAGTCACTTTTTGTATTACTTCAAATTTTGAAATTTGAATGACCAAGTTGAAGAGAATGTGTGAGGAACCTATATTCAGTTGGTTTAAGTAAAATGAGACAGTATTGAATTCATTTTTTTTCCAGCTACAGCAAAGCAAAACATTTGA